AATCCATTTGAAATCTCTCTCTTTCTATTAACAATATATTTTACTAATTTTTTCTAGAAATCTAAAAAATTAAAATTTTGAAAATTAAAGTGTTCTTTCAAAAATTGGTATGCATTCTAATAATTTATAACCAAATTTTTTATTTTATTTATTAATTTTTGCATTATAAATCATGTAATTTATTATCTTTCGTACAATTCTCAATAATACATTTTAAATTGGATCGTATTACAAAATATTTTGGATTTGTTATTATTTGTATAATAATTTTATTATAAAATTTAAACCAACAATTTTAATTTCAGCATATAACATTACAGTAGATAGGTTATAATAAATTTGGATTATAGTTAATTAGTTTGTAATATTTCAGCATATAACATTACAGTTAGATAGGTTGTAATAAATTTGGATTATAGTTAATTAGTTTGTAATAATTTGGGTTTTTTTAGGGGATTAGGGCTTTCCGCCAATTTGAGATTTTGATGGCCATTTTTTATCGATTAAATCTACTCTTTACAGTAGTCCATGTATGATTATATATTTTATTTATGATAATTATATGATTTTTCTTATGAATTTAATGGTTAACATAAGTTTATACAAAGAAAAAACATATCAATATTCACAAATAGATGAAAAAAGTGAAGTTAACAATGGAGTACCCTCATTTCTTATTGGATTCCTAAAAGACAGTATTTGTAATTAATTTTAATAATTTTTTTGGATTTTTTTAGAGCTTAATCCGACTGAGTCGGCCGATTCCCGTTCCGGATCACCAATTCACTGATGGATTTTTAAAGTGCCTGATCCGAGGCACTGATCCGTTTTTTAAATCATTGGATGAGACCATTTATTTTTTATACAAAGAGGTCACAATCCTCATGACCGTTATATTTGAAAATGGGTTGTTGAGGATATGTTACTGTTTGGGCACAAAGTCCCAAATAAAATTTCCCCAATATTGTGACGCCCTTATATATGGAAAAAATTTATATAAGGTTGCAACCTTAAAACATAACATTAAGGTACAACTCAAAAATCCATCGAAAAAGGTTGTCTTGATGTTGAAAAACCCTATAATTGATCATCTCGACATTAATATATATGAATATGTGTAAAAAGTAAAGATTTGGAGTGCATCTTGCAGCTCATTATCTAGACCGTCCATTTTCAAATATTTATAGATCTACTTGATTTGAACTATTTTTAGAGTTTAAAAATTCATAATTAGATTTGAAAATGGATTATAAAGCCATCATAAGAAATTTTTATACCGAAATTATATCTTATGATAAATTTTGGATGTGCATCTTTCTTGGATTGTTTAAAGTCACAACCTTATATAAACCACACCCCTTATATATTGGATTTGACATTTAATGATTAAAAGTACTCGTGACATTGTTGTACAAAAAATAATGCCTTTTAATAGACAATCCCCTTAAAAAATAAAAATAAAAATAAAAAAAGAAAAAAAAAAGGAGAGAGAAATCAGTAGAGATTTTTTGGTCCCTACCTTTTTTTTATGAGAATAGAATAGAGTAAGAGACCTCATCATGGGTCGGCAAAGGGTAAGTCTGACAATCCTCTCCCCAAAATATCTTGGTTTTGCATAAATGTCCCCCTCCCTCATCAAATGTTGAACTAGGGATTTAAAAAACAGCGAGTCGACTCGGAATCGCCCGAGTCGTCATGGAAATCGATCACCCCGTGTCGGTTCTTATGAAATACCGAAAATCGAGGGTGTCTAGAGTGGAATCACCGGTTCTCAACAATATGCTACAGTGAGCGATATGCTACAGTGAATCCGGTGATATGCTACACAGCCGCCGATATCCAATATTCTACAGTGAATCGGGCGATATGCTACACAGTCCCCCCTGATATCCAATATATGCTACAGTGAATCAGGCGATATGCTACACAGTCCCCCCCCCCGATGTCGAATATCTGCTACAGTGAGCGATACGCTACCGTGAATCTGGCGATATGCTACATAGCCGCTGATGTCCAATATTGGCTACAGTGAATCAGGCGATATGCTACACAACCACCGATATCCAATATTCACTACAGTGAATCGGGCGATATGCTACACAACCACCGATATCCAATATCCGCTACAGTGAATCGGGCGATATGCTACACAACCGCCGATATCCAACATCCGCTACAGTGAATCGGGCGATATGCTACACAACCGCCGCTATCCAATATCCGCTACAGTGAATCGGGCGATATGCTACAGAGCCATGTCGACCACCCTGTGTCGGTTCTTATGGAATACCGAAAATCGATCGTGTCGATCACCCCGTGTCGGTTCCTATGGAATATCGAAAATGTGTCGGTTCCTATGGAATATCGGAAATCGATCGAGCGTGTCTAGAGAGGAATTATCAGTTCTCAGCGATATGCTACACAACCGTCGATATCCAATATCTGCTATAGTGAATCGAGCGTCGGTTCTTAACGATATGCTACACAGTTGTCGATATCCAATATCTGCTACAGCGAATCGAGTGTCGGTTCTTAACGATATGCTACACAGTCGTCGATATCCAATATCCGCTACAGTGAATCGGGCACCAGTTCTCAACAATATGCTACACACAGTCGCACGATATCCAATATACACTACAATGAATTGGGCGATATGCTATACACGTGGCACCTAAAACCTACCGAAATTAAATATATGCAACTTGTCGTGCGATATCCAATATACACTACAGTGAATCGGGCGATATGTTGTACACGTGGCACCTCAAACCCGCCGAAATTAAATATATGCAACCTTACTACGATATGCTATACAGTCGCCGATATCCAATATCCGCTACAGTGAATCGGGCGCCAGTTCTCAACGATATGCTACACACAGTCGCACGATATCCAACATACACTACAGTGAATCGGGCGATATGCTATACACGTGGCACCTCAAACCCGCCGAAATTAAATATATGCAACCTCAGTGAATCGGATATGCTACACAGTTGTGCGATATCCAATATGCGCTACAGTGATATGAATATATGCTACACATGGCAACCTCAAACCCGTTGAAATGCAGCTCACCTCAAATGTGGTATGGGTTGCCCAAGTGCTTTTATGCATGCAAGAAGAGTCCTTGTCACACAACTATTTATAGAGAGAAATGTTACACTCGTCCTTCGATGTGGGACTAATATAGTGTTGAGAGTTGAGACAATAATATAATATATATATTTATTATAGAAAGAAAAGCACCATACGGTGATATGGTGCAATTGATTATCACTACGGATTTCAGCTCAAGCATCTCAAGTTTCGAACCATCTGGGCCCTATCTAAAAAAAGGGAAAAAAATAAAATAAAAAGTAATACAATAAGCATTTTGGTAAAAAAAAAGCAAAAACAGGAATACAACATCTTTTTATTTTTCTTGTAAAAAAAAGTAAAACAATAAAATAAAAGGTACCTTGGCAGCACATTTTTCTTATAAAAAAAAAGAGAAAAAGGTAATACAATAAGCAAAACAAATGCAATGCAACATCTTCTTATTTTTCTTGTCAAAAAAATAAAATAAAAGGTAATACAACAAGTATCATATTTTTCTTGTAAGAAAAAAAAAAAAAGTAATACAACAAGTATTTATAGTTAAAAAAAATAAAAGGTATTTCTCAATACAACATGTATTTCTTAATACAACCTAGGAATAAATGATGTTGTTATATTTTTATTTTTATAACATGGTGAAATCTCTTTCTCTGCTAACAATCTCTTCCACTAATTTATTCTAGAAACCTAAAAAATTAAAAATTTGAAAAATTAAAGTGTTATTTCAAAAATTGGTATGCATTCTAATAATTTCTATATTGATAACCAAATATTTTATTTCATTTATTAATTTATTTTCATTATAAATTATGTAATGTATTGTTTTTCTTACAGTTGTCAATAATATATTTTAAATTAGATGATATTATAAGATATTACGGATTTGTTATTATTTGTATAATAAAATAATTATAAAATAAAACCAACAATTTCAATTTCAATATATAATATTATAATTCGTTAGGTTGTAATAATTTTGGATTATATTTAGTTAGGTTGTAATGATTTGGGTTTTTTTTTAGTGGATTAGGGTTTTCTGTCAATTCGAGATTTTAGTGGCTATTTTTTCATCGATTTAATCCATTATTTTTATTGTAGTTCATGTATGATTATAGGAAATAATTTATATAAGGATGGAACCTTATAATGTAGAATTATGGATGCACCTTAAAAATCCATAGGAAAATGTAGTTTTTAGTGTTGAAAAACCATTGATTGATCATCTCGACATCGAGATATATGACCACGAAAAATAAAGAGATTTTAAGTATAAGAAATAATGCATTTTACAACATATTATCTACACCGTCCATTTTCAAGATTTTCATATGTTTATAGATCTACTTGATTTTAACCATTTTTTAAATTTAAAATTTTATAATTAGATATAAAAATAGATTTTGAGATAATCCTAAGAACTTTTTACATCAAAATTATATACCATAATAAAAATTGAAGGTGCACCGTACCTCTACAGCTATGGATGTATCCGTATGCCAACTGCACCTATGATTATATACTTCATCCATGATAATTCTATTATTTTTTTTTGTGATCAAATTTCATAGTTAATATAAGTTCATATAGGAAAAGAACATATCAATATTCGCAAATTGATGAAAAAAATGAAATTTAATAATGTAATACCTAAATTTTTTATTGGATTATTAAAAAATAACATTTATAATGAATTTTAATAATTATTTGAATTTTTTTAAAGCTTAATTTGATCAGTACAACTAGTTTTCAATCTGAAACGTCGATTCACCGATCCACATGGATTTTTAGTTTTTAATCCGAAACGTCGATTCACCGATCGAGATGGATTTTTAGTTGCCCAATCCACCGATCCGTTTTTAAACAAACTGGTTTGAACAAATAATTTTATCTTTTTTAGGGCTCGGAAACTATAAATTTGTGAAGCCCGACGCTTGTGTTCTTCTTTGCTGGTTCTCTCTCTAGAGACTGGCGTCTTTTCTACAGTTGCAGAGGCTCAACAATGGGGGAGGGAGGTTCAGAGACTGAACAAAAACCACAGAACGATGAATCCATGGATTCAATCCCCGCACCACCACCATCAAAGCATCGCCTGCAACACAAATGGACCTTCTGGTTTGATAACCTATCCAAATCCAAGCAAGGAGCTTCATGGGGTTCATCTCTTCGACCTGTTTACTCCTTTGACACAGTCGAGGACTTTTGGTGGTGGGTTTTCTTCTATTTTTCTGTTTTTTTCCTATAGCCTGAGGTCAAGATCCATCTTTTCTTATTGCTCTATCTCTATATCTTCTCATCTATTGCTCTTTCTCTCTCTTTGGAGGGGCATTCTTTTATTTGGTGTCTATGTGTTTAGGCAGAGACCCTTCTTCTCCTCTCTCTAGCTTTAGACTTTGCTGTCTGTATAATTTCACCAAGATCCATATTATTTATTCTCTCTGTGGAAATTTGGTGGTTAATTTACTTTTTCTCATATTTAGGTGTAATACAAGAAACATAATCTTCTCCACTTGTTCTTCTCTCTCGCTAGAATTTTGGCAGTGGGTATTGCTATTCATCATCCTTTAGATCATAATCCATGACCATCGACTTATTCCCTCTCTTTCAGTCACACCCATTTGAGGTTTTTTGGATTGGGCATTTGGAAGATTATGTATGCGTTTTACTGGATCATAGAAATATTTAATTGCTAGAGATTCATTCCTTTCTCATTCTATGCCTCTTGTTCATGTTTTTCTTTGTTAAACTGTTTTTTCTCTCATTCTTTGCCTCTTGTTCACGTTTTTCTTTGTTAAACTGTTTTTTCTTTTCTTTTTCTTTTTTCCGAGAAAAATTTGTTAGACAGTATATTCATGGGGTTTCTAATTTTCCATATGAGAATTTGGTGTATTAAATATTCAACTGCTTTTTGTATTATAGTTGAAGCTCTATGTAAAATTATCAAAGTATAATAATCTGTAATTTTTTTTTCTCTGTGCAGCCTTTATGATAACATTTTTCGACCGAGCAAATTACAGGTTAATGCCGATTTCCATTGCTTTAAGTATGGGATTGAGCCCAAGTGGGAGGATCCTGTGTGTGCAAGTGGGGGCAAGTGGACTGTTCCAGTTGCTAATAGGAAGCCCATGCTTGAAACTATGTGGCTTGAAACAGTGAGTCTCTATCTATCTATCTATATATCTATATCTCTCTCAATTTGTAGTTCGGATATGTTGGGTTTTGTGGTGATGTATTCATGAACTGGGTGTCACTCTCTCGCTCCCCCCCCCCACCACACACACCCACCCACCCACCAACCCACCCACCCACCTCACAGACAGTTATAGTTTGGATTTGTTTGGATTTCTTGGTGATATATTAATTACCTTATAATCTATCTCTCTGTTATGGGCTCCCCTCATTGATCGTGTTTGATGCTGGGGAAAGTCCGACGGATCCACAATATTATCTCGGGCGAGATATCTCAGCTCTCGAGACGCCCCTTTGTTCTTGGTTCTACTTATTTGGAAGAGAGCAATTCACCAAGGATAGAGATACAAGAGAGAGATAAAACAGTAGTTTCTTTGAGGGAAACCAACCCCCGGTAGTGCAATGCACAACAATTTTTTCATTCATGCCTTTACTTCCCATACAATGCAATATTTATAACCCTTGCCATAACCGTCTATCTACTACTCCATTTTCTACCCCACAACCCCTACATATTAGGAGTGTGACCTGTTATAGAAACTACCCAATCCCACAACCCCTACATATTCAGAGTGTGACCTGTTACAGAAACTACCCAGTCCCTACATGAAGACCCCACTAGAATTGATCTTCCATGACTCCTAATTACATGCAAACAGTGCCACTTACATGCATCTCACTGCACGTGTCCAGCACAACACATTATTGGATGAAAATAGCACTTAGGAAACCTAGAAATGTAACATTCCCACCCTCTAAAAATCACCCTTGTCCTCAAGGGTATTTTCAGGAAATTTTAGCTTCAGCGCTTTCAAATTTTCCCACACGGCCTCAGAAGGTGCAAGTCCTTTCCAGTGCACCAGAACCTCCTCTTGATGCTTCTGAACTCGTTGATCCAAAATGGCCTGCGGTTGAGATACCATGCAGTCCCCTGCTTCCTAAACAATGGGTAAATCTTCTTGAACTAAAGTTGTTGTTCCGATCTTCTCCTTAAGGCAAGACACGTGGAATACATGGTGGATTTTGAACCACTTTGCAACTGGAGTTTGTATGCTACTTGACTTATCCTTTGAATCACCTCAAACGGCCCATAGTACTGTGGTGATAGCTTGAGGTTTTTCTGATGGGCAGTAGAAACCTGGTGATAGGGCTGAAGGCGAAGAGACACTAAATCCCCAATATTGAAGCTTTTCTCAGTGTGGTGAACCTCGTAGACCTTCTTCATCTAGTTCTGGGATAATTGCAACTGCTCGCGCAATTGTTTGAGAACTCTATCCCGATCTTGGAGTTCCCGGTCAATTGACTCCACTTAAGTTGTGCCAGGGATATAAGATAGTAACGTGGGCGAGGCATGACCATAGACCACCTCGTAGGGAGTCTTCTTTGTTGCTCTGTGCACGGTAGTATTGTAGCAGTATTCGGCCCATGCAATCCAACGGGCCCACTCCTTGGTCTTGTCACTCAAGAAACACCTAAGATACATCTCGACTTTGCGGTTTACCACCTCCGTCTAACCGTCGGTCTGGGGGTGATAGGCTGATGAGAAATTGAAGATTGTACCTTACAAGCAAAATAATTCTTTCCAAAAGGCACTGGTAAACACCGGGTCCCTATCACAAACAATGGACTTAGGCATCCCATATAATTTAAAAATGTGGTTAAAAAAGATCTGGGCCACCGATGTTGATGTATAGGGATGGGAGATTGGAATGAAATGGCGGCTTTAGATAGGCGATCTACTACCACAAAAATAATAGTTTTTCCGTTCGAGTTTGGAAGGCCATCTATAAAATCCATGGACAAATCTGTCCATACTTGTAGGGGAATGGGGAGCGGTTGGAGGAGACCTGCTGGTGAAGTGTTTTCCCATTTGTGGCGCTGGCATGTGTCACATTGCCTAATATGATCCCGAACACTCCTCCTCATTCCACTCCAATAAAAAACTGATTTTATGTGCTGGAGTGTTTTGTGGAACCCCTCATGTGTGCTGGAGTGTAACTCCTCGATGATTGCAGGGATTAGAGAAGATTCAGCCACCAAGAAAATTCTATTTTTAAAGAATAGAACTCCTTCTTTGTAGCGCCATGTACCCAACGCCTCTCCTTGCTGCACACGAGTCACTATTTCCTGTAGCTTGGGCTTTTTTTTTACTTCTTCCTTGATGGGCTCGAGCCAGCATGGGACTGGCCCAGATAGAGCATAATTCTCACCCTTTTCTTCCATTCAGGACATCGCATCAGCCACTAAGTTTTCCTTCCCCTTTTTGTACTCAATGATGAAATCAAAGCCCATGAGTTTCATCAACCACCTTTGTTGTGCTAGTGTAGTAATTCTTTGCACCCACGGATATTTTAGACTCTCGTGATCGGTCCTTACAATGAACTGTTGCCCAAGTAGATATTGTCGCCATTTCTGTACTGCAAGAACCAAAGCCAACATTTCTTTTTCATAAGTAGATAAAAACAAGGTTTTTCCTTGTAGTGCCTGGCTAAAAAATGCTATTGGCTGCTTCTCTTGTATCAACACCTCTCCAATTCCAGCTCAGAAGCGTCGCACTCGACGATGAATTTTTTTGAAAAATCAGGTAGAGCGAGTATTGGTGGCTGCGCCATTGCTTTTTTTAATTGCTCCAGAGATGCTTTAGACTGTGGGTCCCACTTGAAACCATCTTTTTTCAGCATGTTGGTTAATGGGGCTGCAATCTTACCGTAATTTTGGATAAATTTAGGGTAGTATTCTGTTAACCCTAGAAATCCACGCAGAGCCTTCAACGTCGTGGGCTTGGGCTAGTTGATCATGGCAATTTTTTCTGGATCCACTGCCACCCCTTCTTGGCTGATGAGATGCCCCAAATATTTCACTTCCCTCTGCCCAAAATTACACTTTTTTTTTACAAATAACTGGTTAGTCCGTAGAACAGATAGTGCAATATTAATATGCTAGTGGTCTTCCCAATTTTTGCTATAAATCAAAATATTGTCAAAAAATGCCAATATGAATTTACGTAGGTAATTTTTGAAAACGGTGTTTATCAAGGATTGAAAAGTGGAGGGAGTGTTTGTCAGCCCAAAGGGCATTATCAGAAATTCATGGTGACCATGTTGGGTACGGAATGCAGTCTTCTCAATGTCCTCAGGCTGCATGCGGATTTGGTGACATCCCGACCGTAGATCAAGCATAGTGAAGAAAGAGGCCGTGTAATTCATCTAGCAGTCGTCAATGTTGGGTATGGGAAATTTATCTTTCACTGTTTGCTGATTTAGAGCCCGGTAGTCGATGCACATTCTCCACGAACCATCATATTTTTTTACTACCAACATGGGTGAAGAATAGGGACTGCTGCTAGGATTGACCATCCCAAATTTCAATAATTCGGCGACCATCTTTTCAATCTTTGTTTTTTGCTAATAAGGGTACCTGTAGGGCCGCACGGTTCCCTCTTTCAAGGGAATCTGGTGGTCGTGTGTTCTCTTAGGGGGGAGCCCTTGTGGTTCCTTGAAGACATCCTTAAACGAGTGCAACATTTTGTCGAGTTGATGATTGGAAAATTGAGGAGAAAATTCTGGTGCGGAATTACCTTGCATGCCCTTCATGGAAAGAGAATTTATTTGCAACAATATTCTTTCTTTCCTCTTCTTCATATCTTTGCTGATCTCGTTTGTCTCTACCACCCTATTGTCGGCTGGTTTCAAGCCTTGTAAAATGACTTCCTTCCCTCTCAAAATAAATGCCATCTGTAGCTTGGAGAAATCCCATGTGATTGGGCCCAGCATGCTTAACCATTGTGCACCAAGAACGGTGTCACAACCTTCCAACGGTAGCAAATAGAGATCCACCACAAGAGGGACTCCTTGTGGCACCCTGCAAATGGCCTTGCAGCGACCTGGACTAGATAGCTTTTCCCCATTGGCAACAACCACTTCCAACTTTCCTTCACTGCTAGGAGTTAGGCCCTTTTTTCGTGCAATATTACTTTTCAAAAAATTATGTGTACTACCAAAGTCAATTAGAAATGTTACCCTCTGTTGGCCCAACCTTCTTTGAACACACTTTGTCTGAGGAGTTTTTACCCCATAGATCGCGTTGATGGAGATTTCTGGTACTTCATCAGTTGTGTCAATCTCTGTTTGAGCATGTTCGTCCTCTCCATCGTTTGGCCAGCTCCCTTCGATGAGGAATAGTTTCTTGCAACGATGGCCAGGGCCAAATTTCTCATTGCAGTTGAAGCATAGTCCTTTTGCTCGTTGCTCGCTGAGTTCTGTTGGAGATGACCTTTTAATTGGCATGAAGGACCCACTTGAGCTGGGTGGGTTGGGGCCGACTTTCCTTGGCTCGCTAGGTGCTGCCTTCTTGGTATATAGATTGCGATGTTCATAATGGTGGACGAGACCTATTGCCGCAGCCAAGGTCGCGGGTTGGGAAGCTTGCACGGCTGCTTTAATGTTATCCTCGAGCCCACTTATAAAACATCCAACCTGCTGTACAAGCGTCAATCGACCTGCACGTATCAACAAACGTTCAAATTGAGTTTGATAGTCTCGTACAAACCCTGTTTGTTGCAGCTTTGTGAGATCGTCAAAGAAATCCTGAAATTGGGTTGGACCGTATCGCACATGGAGGCTACTTTTGAAATCCTCCCAAGTGGCAATCCCGAGCTCTTCCTTCGTTAACTGGTACCATAGTTGTGCATCGCCTTCTAAGTTGAATGAGGCAAGAGGGATACGATCCTCTTCTGGTGTTTGTAGGAATTCAAAGAACTGGTCGGCTCTACATACCCAACTGGTGGGGTCCTCTTCCCCATTAAACTTGGGAAAGTCCAATTTAACCATTCGCGGAAGGTAGGTTCCAATGGACCCCATACTGCCATTTTGAAGTGGTCCCATATGTGTCCGCCCGCCCTGTACACACTGGTGGCGGTTGACTATTGAAAGATTCACCATTATCTCAGCCGTTCTTCCCTTGATCGAGTCAAGTATTGATCGTAGCTAACATCTGCTGCATGGACTCCATCACCTCCTTGAAGCCTCACTCCTCATCTGCCTTCAAACTCCCCATCTCGGACTCCAAATGATCTAGGCGTTGATCCGCCATGCCCAGCTCTGATACCAAATTGTTATGGGCTCGGCTCACTGATCGTGTTTGATGCTAGGGAAAGTCCAATGGATCCACAATATTGTCTCGGGCTAGATATCTCAGCTCTCAAGACACCCCTTTGTTCCTGGTTCTACCTATTTTGAAGAGAGCAATTCACCAAGGATAGAGATACAAGAGAGAGATAAAACAATAGTTTTTTCGAGGGAAACCAACCTCTGGTAGTGCAATGCACAACAGTTTTTTCATTCATGCCTGTACTTCCCATACAAAGCAATATTTATAACCCTTGCCATAACCGTCTATCTACTACTCCATTTTCTACCCCACATCCCCTACATATTAAGAGTGCGACCTGTTACAGAAACTACTCAGTCCCACAAGCCCTACATATTAGGTGTTTGACGTAGTACAGAAACTACCTAGTCCCTACATGAAGACCCCACTAGAATTGATCTTCCATGACTCCTAATTACATGCAAACAGTGCCACCTACATGCATCTCACTGCACGTGTCCAGCACAATACTTTATTGAATGAAAATAACACTTAGGAAGCCTGGAAATGTAACACTCTCTTTCTATTTCTAACTCTCTTAATTTGATTTGGATTTGCTGGGTTTCTTGGTGATGTATTCATGAACTGGAAGGGTTTTTCTGTGTAGTTGATGGCTTTGATTGGAGAGCAATTTGAAGAAGGTGAGGACATATGTGGGGTTGTTGCTAGTGTGCGTGCAAGGCAGGATAAGCTTTCTCTTTGGACTAGGACTGCATCAAATGAAGCTGCTCAGGTTTTGATCTCTCTCTCTCTTTGAAGCTTGCGTGTTATTGGTAACTGGCATTAGTTTTTTTCCCCCACAAATGTTTGTATGTCATTATAACTGGATTTAGATTGTTCATTAATGTTGGAGCACTGTGAAAATCTTTCTTTTTCGTGTTATTTTATTCTTCCTGTCAAATTGTTGATATTTTCGGGTTTTTGATTATTGAATGAGAGGTTAAATGATTCATGGAGCTAGATAAAGACCAATTAACGAAAATTCGGCTGCCTTGCCACCTAGGCAGCCTGGCCGAGAAACCGCCTAGGCGTATCTTAGGCGGTGGGGTCTGGGCGTGCATGTCTAAGGTGGGCTCACACATGGACCCATATGCTCCCTCTTTCAATGTAAGAAAAGAAGAAAAAGAAGATGGCATGGCCTCCAAGTGTTTGATGCAAGGTCCCTCTCTCTCACATACTCTCTCTCTCTTTGAATCCAACAAGTCAGTATACGCCTTGAGTTTGTTACCATGGATGCACTTTGAATCTCTCTTTGAATCCAACAAGTCAGTACACGCCTTGAGTTTGTTACCATGGATGCGCTTTGAATCCACTGAAGGGCGGTGGGTGCTTGTACAAGTCAGTACACGGTTTGAGTTTGTTACCATGGATGCACCAATGCTACATGAGGTGGTTCTGATATTGTCGAGGGAATCACTTTAGGTCCAAACTAGCACTCTCCCTCTTGCGCATGTATAGGGACTAAAGAATTGAGGGTTTCTATGCTGTGGACAATTCCTTTAGATTTGCTTATAAGAGGATATAGGCAACAAAATCTCCTTAGCGTTCTTTTATAGATAATGTTGCAACCCAAACTTGAGTTACCTTTGGCTTTCGAAAATCATACGACTTTTTCCTTCTCTCACAAATACAGATCCAGAAGAAAAAAATGAAAAAGAAAAAAAGAGGATGATATTTAAGAATTTCATGCGAGACCTCACGCACACACATACATGCACATGCAAAACACATACACATTCACAAAACACATATACACACCCACCTCAACCCCTTCCCTTAGTGACACAAACCTCCTGCCTTTGTCTTGCCCCCCCACATCAACCCCTTCCCATAGTGACACAAACCACCTGCCTTTGTGTTTGGGCACCCGCTTACATAGCGCAGACCGTTGGCCGCCTAGGCGGCCGCCTCTGCCTTTTTGAGCATTGGTAAAGACATGTCTTGAGTTTCTTTGCAGTGGACCTAAGCTATGATGATTTATTGTCAGTTAGGTCTATGTTTAATGTTCTTGTTGTGTGTATGAATTGTTGGTAAGAAAAAACTTTGAGACATGAGGTTCTTGCTTGTCATGAATTCATATGCATGGATCATAATTCAACTTTCTAATGCATTATGGTGAACCATCATGTCGGTCGGACTTCACATTTTGGTTTGTGATTACAATTGAAAATTTCAATGTCTAATTGTATTTTCAATGTTTAATGATTAATGAAAAAATTGGTTAGTGTGAACGATGGCTCATTGGATCACGCCGATTTTTCAATAAACTACGAATTGTATCATTGTTACAAACACTTGTGACTGATGTTCACAAAGCTAGGCTTTTCAATAAACTACGAATTGTATCATTGTTACAAACACTTGCGACTGATGTTCACAAAGCTAGGCTGCCCACAGACTAGGCAGACCACAGAAAATGGCTTTTTAACATACTTTTAGTAGTGAAATTCTTTTCTTATGTGAATCATGTTATCCTTAATTCAATTTTTTTTGGAATATGCTATGTATGTATAGATTTTGTCAATATATTAACATAAAAAGAAGACAAGAAACTGATGCATCGAGGTGATCTTTGCCATCCATTGATCCATGATTGAGTTCTACACCGGGAATAAGCGTTATAGGAACCAAAATTGGCTGTGTCAGCTTCTTAGTGATCCCATGATATGGAATAGGAAATATCATTGTCAAATTTCCTCTCTCATCTGCTATATCACCAATGCTACATGGGGTGGATAATCCGCTTGAGCTTGCCTGATATTGTTGAGGGAATCACCTTCGCAATCTAAGTTCAAAACATGCACTCCACCAACCATTGCCATAGTGCTTGGGCCTCAGTGATAAAGCATTTGATGTTCTCATGCTAGAATAATGTGCTTCTGCCTTACTTTATGAATCCACTGAAGGGTGGGTGCTTGTACAAGTCAGTACACGCCGAGTTTGTTACCATGGATGCCATGGATGCTCCAATGCTACATGAGGTGGTCCTGATATTGTTGATAGGTGACAATCTGAGGTCCAAACTGGCACTCTCCGTCTTGTGCCGTAAAGTGAATAAAGAATTGAGGGTCTCTATGTTGTGAACAATTCCTTTTGAAATTTTGTCTCTTACTTACAACGAAAGATTTTGCTTATAAGAGGATATAGGCAACAAAATCTCCTTGTCAGGAAAGACATTGCCACTTCCTTCAAACAATACTTGATGCTGGCCAATCTGAATCCTCCTATCGATTCGAAGCTTCTGGGGCATTACCTCCTTTAATAAACCCAAAAGCCAGCCTGCGAGCTTGGTTTCCTCAGACAAATTCTCGACAAATTCTCCAAACTGAGGGATATCATGTCAACTTGCTGCCTACACATTGATTAGTCTCAACTGAAGCCTCTTTATCTTGAGCTACTCCATTAACCCTAGTCCTCGGATATCATGTCAACCAGCTACCTGCACATTGCTGATTAGCTTCAATTGAAGCTTCTTTATCTTGAGCTACTCCATTAACCCTAGTCTCTGAAACATGTGACTTCATCACATTTCTCTTTTGTTAGATGTGAATTGTCATCTGCATGTCATCTTACCAAACTCTTGTTCATAAATGGCTGCAATTGAGCTAGTCACCTAGAAATACGTCCAATAAGTCGGTTCGACTAGGCCTGAGTTGCTCAATGTATGTTGAAGTGCCAGTTACCCTACTCGAGAAGGTGGCTTAAATTAGTGTGCTTTTATAGAAAATGTTGCAACCCAAACTTGAGTTAACTCTGACTTTTGAAAATCATGCGACTCTTTGATTAGTGTTACTCAATTTTTCCATAGTTACCAAAACTTGGTTTTTGATAATTGTTAGTTGATTGGCTGATGCCGACTGGTAATGATTAATGCATACCGTTCCTCTGCTTAATGCCCCCTTGGGAAGGATCTTTATATTATAACTCCTAGACTATCAGTTGTTCACAACTGATGGTCTAGGTGTTGTGTAGTTTACTGTATGTAAACCACATCATTGTATATGCATTGATACCATATATTATTTTGGGAAAGGTTTCTATGCTTCCCCTACCGCATAGAAGTTCTATCCTCCCCCTACCATTCAACCGTCCAATTTTGATAAAGAGAGCCACTTACCGTTTAATCTTAGATCTGACATCTCAAAGTATTTTATTTTTATTTTTTTTATACAAATTGTATGAATATGCAATTTGGTACGTGCCATCTTCTCATTGGAGCGCACCTATAAAAAATATTAAAAATAACTTTTCGATAAAATATAATGACCAAAATACCCCTTGAAACTTTTAGGGGTATTTTGGTCATTTTATTTTATTGAAAATATTTTTTTTTTATATTTTTTGCTAGTGCGAGTTTAATAGAGGAATGGATACCCAAAATTTGGTGTCAAAATAGTTTATAGAAAAAATAAAAAATAAAATAGTGTAGAGAAGTGACATTGTGATTGGGGGCAATCTTAGCCGTCCATTCAGAATGGACTGTTGGATAAGGGGGAGGATAGAACTTCTATGCTGTAGGGGAAGCATAGAAAGCTTGTCCTATTATTTTATCAATAATTTAATGTATTAGCAGTTTATACTTAATATAAAAAATAAAGGATAAGCATTTTATCACCACTAGGCAGATCATGCGGTGGGCCGTCCAAGGCCAGAACTGATGGTCATAACCATCCAGCCGAAAATCCACATAAATACATTGTTTTATAAATGTTTTCCTCTCTCTCTGAAAATCACTTTCTATTTTTTTTTTTTTAGGTTTCTCTTGGATTGTCTGCTTGTATAATAGGATAAGTGTATCTGAAATGAGGATGTTGAGATGGATGAGTGGCAAGATACGAAAGGGTAGAATTCAGAATGAATGCATAGGACGGAACTTAGGGGTGGCTCCAATAGGCGATAAGATGATGGAAAGTAAACTTAGGTGGGCTGGCCATGCATAGCACAAACCTAATATAACACCAGTTAGGAGGGGTGATTTGATGACTTATGATGTGATTGAGGCTATAATCCTTGATGGAGCAGAATGACGGAACATAATTTATATAGCCGACTTCGAATAGTTGGAGTAAGGATTGAATGATGATGATGATGGAAAGTAAACTTAGGTGGGCTGACCATGCATAGCACAAACCTAATACAACACCAGTTAGGAGGGGTGATTTGATGACTTATGATGTGACTGAGGCTATGACCCTTGATGGAGCACAATGACGGAACATAATTCATATAGCCGACTTCGAATAGTTGGAGTAAGGATTGAATGATGATGATGATGGTAATTGTCTTCTAGGATGAAATATTTGAATTTACGAAGTTTGGGGAAAAGTTGTTGTTGGATATGGTTTTTATTTGGGTTTTTTCTGGAAAAAAGGGGGCGGGGGGGGGGGTGGTTCCTGACTGCTATAGTATCACCTAGTGGTGATGAAGTCCTTATCCAAAATAAGTATGCATATATATTTGTTACAATTTTCCAATATATGCATGTTCTCTACTATTTCTACTGTTTAGCTATTTATTTTTTTTGGAAAAACTTGCCAAGTTGTGTTTGAGTCAGGTTTGGCATGCCCAAATCTTCAACTGAGTTGGACTTGTTGAACTTTGAACGCAACTACTTCCAGTTGTGAAGAAAATTAGGGAAGCTTTACTTAAGTTATGTTTATACATTGTTTTCCTTGTCTTGAGTTGTATATTTGATAATTTTTTGCATCGTGGTTCTTGAAGAAGAATTATAGGAACCTCAATGTGGATTTGGAATATATTACACGAAACTTGCTGTCATGGTCTTGTTACTCTTGTCATTGAAGCCTATATTTAAATGGTTGGGTGGTCACTTGCTTTAAGAAATTACTGGAAAGGTTATTTATTCCACACACACAAAAAGGGTTACTGGAAAGGCGTGGTATATTAGGATGTAGCTTTTCTTTGACACCACCTCATATAATTGTGGTGTTATATTATCTTTAACTTTGCAACAATGGTAAACAAGAAGTTGTATGTTGTCACACTCAATATAGTTCACTGTCATGCTTCTTTAATGTAACATTTTGTATGTTTTTACTTTTTGTGCTATCTTTTACTAAATTTCTAAGGAGTGAAATATATTATATTGCCACAGTCATGTTGGGTCTTTTCAAGGGAGACCAAAGCATGGTGGTGTATGCGACACCAAATCATGGTGGTGTATGCTATAGACAGCCTGAGGTAGCAGGATGGCCATATAGGTGTTGAAAGTAGATTTTGGATACTGTATCACCACCCCTAACTGGACATGAACCTCCATGTGCTGCTATAAGCAATGTGCTAGAAACCTATGGGTCACTATCTTAAGAATAAGAATTTCACTCATAAGCAATGATGCTATATATGCCATTTTGAACAATCTAGTGCAGTTATTTGTAGTGCACTATCTTAAGAATAGGAATTTAATTCATCACCATCATGCTCTATAAGCCATTTTGAACAGTGCAGTCGTTTGTACCCTGAACAGTGCAGTCGGTTGTACCCCTCTGGGTATTTAAAGTTTAAGCCCATGCAATTTTTTATTAGATATGCATAGTTGCCCGGTATAGAGCTTGTACTTTGTTTTTATCTATAAGTCAATTGATAAATGTGTTCTATTAAGTTAATGGATAAATGCTTGTCTATGTTCTCTTATCTCTTGTTTATTAATCTTAAATGTTCTTTTTGAATATCAAATATGTTCAATTTTCATGTTCATTCCATTTTCACTTTTTTCATCTTTCCTATCTAATTATGAAGTAATACTTTAGGTATTTTTAAAATTAATTAATATGTATATATAAAATGATGTACCCAACAAAAAAATTTATCAAAATCACGCCCTTGCATGACCTAGCTTGTGTAGGGCTGGCAATGGACCCGGACCGAACCCGGGACCCGTTGGGTAGACCCGACATGGGTCCGGGTATGGGTCCAAACCTTGGATCTGTGGGTAGGGTCTGGGTCCTTTATAATGGACCCGAAGATTCTCCGGTACGGGTCCGAATACTAGTGGACCTGCCCCATACCCGACCTGGTACTTGAAGTTTCCCACCTCTTTATCCAAATTTCCCAAAACGTTACACGCCGCATTAAATGCTCATTAGGTCTAAATTTCTTAAAATATTGAACGCCGCATTAAATGCTCTTAAGGTTAAAAAATAGCATGGAATCGCAAAACCATATTATATAAAATATTATTCAATCAAACACTCTCTATTATTATTATTTTTACTTAAACTCTAATTAATAAAAAACACATTTTTAAATTTTATCATCATTAAAAAGAACTAGGTTTATCCTCGTACATTTTAAAGAGCATTGTGCTCCTTCAGGAGCAAAAAATTACTTTGTGGTTAACACGAATGTGTAATACATACATGTGAGAGGTAATAAAATATTTTAATGATAAAAATTGATTATTCAAAATGACAAGGATTACATCCTCTTTCATGATATCTAAATTTCGCAAAACATTACACGTCGCATTAAATGCTCATAAGGTCCAAATTTTTCAAAATATTACATGCCGCATGAAATGCTCATACGGGTAAAAAATAGTGTGGAACCGCTAGACCATAGTATATAAAATATTATTTAATCAAACACTTTCTATTTTTTTTCCACTTAATATCTAATTAACAAAAAAACACATTTTTATATTTTTATCATCATTAAAAAACCTAAGTTTATCCTTGTACATTTTAAAGAGCATTGTGCTCCTTCGGGAGCACAAAATTATTTTGTGGTTAATACGATTGTGTAACACATACGTGTGAGAGGTAATCGAATATTTGAATGATAAAAAAATTGATTATTCAAAATGACAATGATTACATCATCTTTCATGATATCAAAATTTCCCAAAATAATACATGCCACCTTAAATGCTCATAAGGTCCAAATTTCCCAAAATATTACATTCGCAAAATATTACACGCCGTATTAAATGCTCATAAGGTCCAAATTTTCCAAAATATTACACGCCACATTAAATGCTCATAAGGTTAAAAATAGTGTCGGGTATGAGTCTAGGTCCTGAGTCCAAAATTGCTCGTTGGGCACGTGTATGGGTATGTTCAATTTGGAACCATCAAGTCCGGGTACATATAGTTTATTTCGGGTCCAGTTCTGGGTTTGGGTCGGGATCCAGCTAGACCCGACCTGTTGCCACCCCTAGGCTTGCGGACTTAGATGGGTTGTGAACAACTTGACAAGGTAACTTGCCAAGTCACATTAAATGCTCATAAGGTTAAAAATAGTGTCGGGTATAGGTCCAGGTCCCGGGTCCAAAATTGCTCGTTGGGTACGTGTACGGGTACATTCAATTTGGAACCATCGAGTCCGGGTACATATAGTTTATTTTGGGTCTAGTTTTGGGTTTGGGTCGGGGTCCAGGACCCGTTGCCACCCCTAGGCTTGCGGACTTAGATGGTTTTTGAACAACTGGACTAGGTAACTTGCCAAGTCAGGTCGTTCCAATAGGGGCGGCAATGGGTTGGGTCCAGCTGGACTCGGATCTAAACTTGAAATAAACGATATGTACCTAGATTGAACGTACCTTTACTCGTACCTGACGGACAATTTTGGACCCGGGACCCGGACCCATACTTGACACTAATTTTCAACCTTATGAGCATTTAATGTGGTGTGTAATATTTTGGGAATGTAATATTTGGGAAATTTGGACCTTATGAGCATTTAAGGCGGCGTGTAATATTTAGGGAAATTTGGATATCATGAAAGATGATATAATCATTGTCATTTTGGATAATCAAATTCTATCATTAAAATATTTTATTACCTCTCACACGTATGTGTTACACATTCGTGTTAGACACAAAATATATTTGTGCTCCCGAGGGAGCACAATTCTCTTTAAAATGTTTGAGGATAAACCTAGTGTTTTTTAATGATAATAAAATATAAAAATGTGTTTTTTGTTAATTAGAGATTAAGTGAAAAAAATATATGAGTGTTTGATTGAATAATATTTGATCTAATATGGTCTTGCAGTTCCATGCTATTTTTAACCTTAAGAGCATTTAATGCAGCGTGTAATATTTTTGGAAAATTTGGACCTTATGAGCATTTAATGCGGCGTATAACGTTTTGGGAAATTTGGATACAGGGGTGGGAAACTTCGGGTCTTGTGTCGGGTAGGGGCGGGTCCACTAGTATCGAGACCTGTACCCGAGATTCTTTGGGTCCATTATGAGGGACCTACTCGCGGGTCCAAGGTTTGGACCCATACCTGGACCCGTGTCAGGTATACCCGGGTCGGGTTCGGCTCCATTGCCAGCCCTATGTCCCTAGTTCGCAACCACAATAGGACGACCCTTTGAACTTGATGAGCCAAGGACTTCTTTTTATTTTTCTTCCTTTCCTCATTGGCAATTGACAGATTTAGTTCTTGGACTCTTCTTAAATAATTTTCATCCCTGTCTTGCTATAGTTTAAAGTAAACTTCTGTTTTTATTATTTTTGTTCGACTATTTTGGTAATTCTTTTCTCTTGATTATTTCTTAATTCTCACTATGCATGCATGATTAATGATTCTTGTTGGATTAGCATCCTGTAAGCTGAATGTGGAAACAGGAAATGCTTCTTTAAGCTGAATGTGAAAAACATGGAATGCTTCCGAAAGAAATTTCATCCTTTTCTTGCTATAAGTTCAAATAAAATTTTGTATTTATTAATTTTGTTTAACGATTTTGGGAATTGTTTTCTTTTGATTATTTCTTAATTCTCACTATGTAAGCATATATTGATGATTCTCTTGATTGGATTATGGTCCTGCAAGCTGAATGTGAAAAATGTCGAATGCTTTCACCTGGATTTGAAGGTTGTATTTAATTTTTTAGTTTGCATGCAGGTGAGCATTGGTAGGCAGTGGAAAGAGATAACTGATTTCACGGAGAAGATTGGATACAGTGTCCATGTAAGAATTTTCCCCCCTTTTTTTTTGTTTTTCTTACAAGCATGGTACTTCTACCATTTACCTTTGATATAAGGAGGTCACAATTATTCATAACCATCCGATGTGAAATCTGATAGCTTGGGTGTGTAACATACTTCGAAAAAATTTCTTTTGAAGTTTAAGTTTGGTCAATGGAATAAATGCAGTTGTTCAATTTCACATCCAATGATCAAGATTAATCGTGACCACCTTGTACCAAAAGAAAATGGTCCCATTGTCTACTTTTCTTGTTTTCTTATGCTTATTACTTTGGTTTACATAATTTTTTTTACAGGTATATATGGTTTTATAGGACAGATAATTTTTAAGACAAGAAAACATTATTATTTACATATATATTGTGTTTTTTCCCCTACTTTAGTCAATGATTCTCTATTGGCTTCTGCAGGATGATGCCAGAAAGGATAGACAATCAAAAAGATATACTGTCTAGTACATGGTATTGGTGTGTTCTTTTTCTTCCGTGTTCTTAAGAGCTCATATGATTTTAATGACCCATCTTGTTCTGTTTTAATAGTATGTTGAACTTTTAACAATGAAATATTGATGGCTCTGTACATGGTATTGGTGTGTTCTTTTTCTTCCGTGTTCTTAAGAGCTCATATGATTTTAATGACCCATCTTGTTCTGTTTTAATAGTATGTTGAACTTTTAACAATGAAATATTGATGGCTCTGTAAATCTGTACCTTGGTCTCTTTCATGTATTCTTCTTTCTCATACTATTTTTGCTTCAAACTTCAAAGTTTAGGATGAGAAATGGGGAAACACGTTTCTGACAGTGTTAGTTATTTTTGATTCCAAGAAAGGAGTCTCACTGTTATTTTGGAATGGAAGAGAATAATTCCAGTGTTTTTACTTGAGTAGTCAAGATGTTTCACTTTCTATATTAAGTTGCCTTTTGTATTTGGAAAAGTATACAATAAGGCTATTTATTTTTGGTACAATGACAATTAATCTTGACCATTGGATGCAAAATTGGTTGGCTGCATTTGTTTTATTGACTAGGCTTAAAGTTCAAAAGAAATTTTTTCAAATTTTGTGAGATACCCAAGTTGTCAGAGTTCACATTGGATATTTATAGGTAATTGTGACTTTGTACTAGAGGTAAATCATAGTATACAATACTTGTGAATTTAAGGTTATAGTATGATTTTTTTTTTTTTTTCTACACACAAAGCAGAAGTCCTTTTATGTGTGTGTGGTGATTTAAAAACAAACATTTTTTTCTTGGAGATAATTTCATCTTCCAAACGTCTTGACAAGTGGCAGAATCCAACATGGGTAGCAATTTCTACAATTTCTACTTTAGAAAGGTGAATTTGAATTTGGTTTAGAGGAATCTCTCCCTCCCCTTCTGAATCTTTGGAGCCTCTCTCTCAATCTACGTCTCTAGGAGTTTCTCTCTCCTCCGAACCTTTTTAAGGCTTTCTGTAATCTCTCTCTATGCGGCCTTGAGGCATTTTTCTCAATTGTATTGAGTACTTCATTTATCTTTATTTTTTTTAAGGTAATTCAATGGGGAAGATAGGCCCTACCCATTTTTCAGAGAAGATACCTACCAGTTTAGGAGCTATTGTTTTTTTTCAGGGAATATACCTACCAGTTTAGGAGTTATTTTTTTTTTAAGGTGTTGGTGGGATTCTGTCGGGGGTAATGGAAATTTTTTTTAAGGTGTTGGTGGGATTCTGTCGGGGGTAATGGAAACCAATGTGGTGACTAGAGTGTCAGGGTGTTGCTACCACGACTCCAGCCTTCTGATTTTTTCTAGTGCAAGACAGAAGGTTGTAGGGGTTTAGACTTATATTTTGAAAAAGTTAATCTAGTAACTATGGGTTATGCAAGAGCGAATTTTGGCAAGTTTTTGGGTATATTTAAAGGGTGAGGTTTGTATAGGGCCGAGGCTCTAAACAATCAATGTAAAGCGCGCTTTCAAATAGTGTTGAGAAACGAGAATTGTGGTTTCTATGTTGAAAATTTGCGATAGCTTTGAAATATATATTCATATCTAATTATAAAATTTCAAGCTTAATAAATTGTGTAGATCGAGTAGATCTATGACAACTTGAAAATTGACGGTCCAAAGTACTATTTCCAAATCTTGAAATCTATTTTTTATTCATTTCCATGCATCTTGATGTTGAGATGATCAATTTGAAGATATTTGGGCATAAAAAAAACCTCTTCTAGTGAAAATTTTGAGCTGTGCTCTAATTTGGTTGTTTAGAGCCTCAACTCTACATAAACTTTTTCCATATTTAAAAGGTTAGACGTTCAAAAAGAAGTAACGCACACCTCCATCCCCAGTCGTGAAATTTTAAAATTTAAAATATACAAATCAAACAAATTTATAGATACTTGAAAATCTTAAAAATAGATAGTCCAAGTAACTTGTTACAAGATGTACTATTCTTATTTTTAAAACTTTGAAACAAATTTTTTTAGGATGCGGTTTATATAGAGCCTAAGCTTTAAACAATCAAATTAGAGCCTATCTTCAAATAGTGTCAGGGAATGTGGCTTCAATACTGAAAATCTTGAGAGATCTATGAGCCTTAGTTTCATATTTATTTATAAAATTTAAAGCTTCAAAAATAGTATAGATTGAGAAATCTATGAAAACTTGAAAATCCTTAAAATTGACGTTCCAAAAATACGAACCAAATCTCTCTCTATTATGTTTCAATTTTTTCCTATTTATTTATTTTTTAATAACTTGGTTAGGGCCAATGCTGAGTTAATGGCCCAAGCCAAGTTTTAGACTACTGATATTGATGATATATTAAAAATACAAGAAAAATACAAATATCGACAAAACAATTTTTGTTTTTTTCTTTTTGTGGGTAAATCAGAAGAAAAAGTTGTTCTAAGAAGGGTGAGGACCTTAAACTTTCTCTTAACCCGTCCCAAGCTTGGGTAACGAGGCTCTGAATCTGTCCCAAGCCTAGGTAAAAGGGTGGGTTGTATTAGGTAGGCGGCCAATGTAAACCTTTGTGAAAAATTCTCATGATTTCGGAATACTATTTGCTTATGTTAGGGCAATCCCCGTAAGCAACGTGTAGTACCAAAAATTGAATGTAATGAGAAAAAAGCAAGGGTTAGCTAGGGGTTCCTTAGAAACGACTCACCACGGTACCCCCCGGTTCCATTAGAAAATAGACAAGGGTACCTGCATCAGTCTGGACGAGTGAGGGTAAAGAAACTAGTCCAAGAGAATAGGATTCTCTTGGAGACATGGAATGTAAGAACGCTTATAGGTAAGAGAGTAGAGTTAGTGAATACAATGTGAAGAAGGAGGGCAAACATAGCTTGCCTACTTGAAATTAAGTGGAAAAGAAAAAAAAGCTAAGGAAATGATGGGTATAAACTTTAGTACACAGGAAATAAGAATAATCGAAATGGCATAAGCATAATAGCAAACAAGCATTTAAAAGAAATGTCAACTTTACTTTATGGGGTAGATTATTGGGCGGTTAAGGAACAACATACCCACATAATGAGTGTAGCTTAGATGATGATGCTGAGATGGATGAGTGGAAATGCAAGAAAGGATAGAATTCGAAATGAGTACATTTTAGAAATTTAGGTGTGACACTAATAGGTGAAAAGATGAGAGAAAATAGACTTAGGTGGGCTGGCCATGTGTGACACACACCCAAAAAAGCACCTATTAGTAGGTACGAGTTAGTACAAGTGGAAAACTCCAAAAAAGCAAGGGGTACAACAAAAAAGACATGGTTGGAAGTAGTGAGAAAATATATAAAAACTTATGGCCTCACTAAGAGTATAACTCTTAATATAGCAAAATGATAGACCAGGATTCATATGGCCGACCCCAATTAGTTGAGAAATTTTTTTGATGATGATGATTAAATTAGCAAAAGAAGTTGGTCCCTACTTATTTTCATTAATATAACAATAATGAAATATATACTATAAGACTATTTACTTCTGATAAAAGGTCACAATTATTATTAGCTATTGGATTTTTTGACTTTGGCGGCCCAAACAATGACACTACACCAATCACCTGATTTCACATATAACAATCACTAATTATTGACTTTCTTGTATAAAAAATAAATGGCCTTATCATATACATTTCCTTAAAATAAAAGGTGTGATTTGTATAAGGTGGCAATCTTAAACAATCAAAGTAAGGTGTACCTCTAAACATTGTCATAAGATGCAATTTTGCTGTTAAAATTTTTAGGATGGTACAAGAATCAATTTTTATCTCTAATTATAACAATTTAAACTCCAAAAATAGTTCAAATCAAGTGGATCCATAAATGCATGAAAATCTTGAAAATGAAAAGTCCAAATAATATGCTTCAAGATGTGGTATATTTAGGACTTGATATCTCTTTTTTTCTCCATATCTATACATCTGGATGTTGAGATAATCGGCTAGAGGTTTTCCAACATCAAGAAAAACCTTTTTCGAAAGATTTTAGAGATGCAACTTAATTCTACTTTTTAAGGTGTCAACATTATATAAATATTTTTCAAAAATAAACTATATTAACAACAAAGGAGATCCTTGGATGAGGAATATTCTCGAACCAGAAAGCAAAAAGAGAGAAATAAAATACAGTGGTCATATTTGCCAAAATGTGGCTGATGAAGCAATTGCACCTCTTTTGGCCAATAAACCCATGACCTGATTAGCCTGTTAACAAATGTGTATGAAGCTCCACTGGTAAACTCAAAGCCATCAAAGGTAATTTCGAATTGAAGTATAGGATCTCCATGGAACTGTCTCAGAAACCTGCTTCAAGCCCACCAAGAGTCACTTTCAATTTCAATGCTCTCACAGTTAATTTGTTTTACCTATCGCAATACCCTCTCCAAAGCCCAAAACTCCGCTACATTATTTGTGCTCCCTAGAATGGATGAAGTTTCTGTAAGGCATTGGTTTTATGAAAACAAAGTAAAGCCTCACTCCTCAAATTTTAGTAAGCAAGTCTCCGTTTAAAACATGAGTTTTTCAACAAATCTCCGATTTTTTGAAATCCATTTAGAACTCCGAGTTTTTCAAAAGATATTCAAAAGATCATTTTTTTTCATGGAACCGATGTACACACGTATTTTATCTTTTTTCAAAAAAATTCTTCCCTATTTCTTCATTAACTGAATATTATTGAATTTTTACTAAGATAAACAAATTAATAGTAGGAATAAATTACGAATCTTGATTTAAAGTAAAATTCCGTAAAATGTTTCACCAATAATTTCCCTTAAAAAAGTTTATAAACAATTACAAACAATATATTCTCCAAAAAAAAGATATCAGAACATTCATATATCTCAAAATAATAGGCAGAGTTAGAAGACTAACCCAATGAAAATATGTTTTTTTTTTGTTCTTTAAACCCAGTGCATCCCTATAAATAGCAGATTTTATGAGATTCGAAATTTCGAAGTTGCTTAAAGATTTTGTATACTAAAGCTTGAAGCAGCTAGGATTTCAGCGTGAGATTCAAATTTGCTTAAACATTTGTTGCTTTCTTTTATATATAGATAAATTCGATTAATTTTATTTTTTATGTTTTTATTTTGTTGGTGTATACAACATAGCATTTTGATTGGATTACTATTTTACGTATTTGGGTTTGTATTTTGTTTTAGTTAATTGCAATCCTATACTGAGAATCTTTTTTGTGTTTTTTTTTTTCTTCAAACAATAATCCTATGTCTTAGTTTACAGTTTTTGTTGTCTACTAATGTAGTTCTTGTGTTGAGTATTATTTATATTTCATTTTATGCTCCAAAAAAT